TGTGTCGAAATTGAGAAAAAAACTCACAGTTGTCGAGAATAAAGGCTTTCATCGATTTCAGGCAATATTGTCACTGTTTCATATAACTCAATGTTAGTCATTGAATTCGATATTGATGTATTATTTAGTGCGTTGATTATTATTATTATTAATATCCCAAACTATTGAAGCAGATAAAGAACGTGGCTATACAAATGCCTGGTATATAGTGTTTTTTGCATATTAATGGGAATAGGTGAGATTAAATAACACGTGTTACTTTTTTAAATATTTTTCATACATGTTCAATCTTACTAATTGATTGAGTGATTCAAAATACTTAGTTTAAAGTAAGAAATAGGATAAATGACAGTGAATTTATGTTTATATTCTTTGGGTTAATTATAATGAGCTGTTGGCTATTTATGCTTTGTTTGGGAATAATAATAAATAAAATTAAGGAAGACTATAGAAACAAATATTCTTATTCAATTGCCTCGATGATTCAGATGAAAAGAAAGAAAAATAAAATAGTGGAAACCAATCAAAATCGAACTGAACTATTGAATCGACCACTAGGGGTCGCAGCAGCCGATGCGCCGAAAGTAGAAAAATAGGCAGTAAAGTTGTGAAGAAAATCAGATATCTATATCAAAGTTAGAGATAGAAAAATTCATTCTGATATTACCTATCAGGCTCAAATTTGAATAAAATTAGATGAAGTAGTAATAATTAGCTAAAAGTTTAACGTATGTTACTACGATAAGCGTCAAAGTTGTTTGAGAGAGAATAAGCAGTTCAACAGAGCAATTTTTTCGTCATAGGCTATGAGCACGTGTCCTCTCTTCACCTATCTACATCCACACCCTATCAACCAACAAGGAAGTGAATCGAGTTAACGCTGAATACTGTGTTTATTCCATGACTAATGGATTTGAAAATTAAATTAAAATAAATAGAAATTCCTAAAACAATATTATTCAATATGTATGTAGTTATCGATATATATTGGTATAATGTATTACCTAATATCTCAGCAATTGGTGCAGCACAATATATGGTATTGGCTAAGCTCATCAAATTTTTGTTATATTTATCATGTGGAAACAGTGATCTAGAAAGAAATTTTTTTCTCAAACAAATCATCTTGATTAAGATGATCTTTCATTATAAAATTAAGCATCTATTATGGCTTGACAGATACCAGTGCTAATATTCGAGTTCAGAGACCAAAATGAAGCGGGAGTCAGGTCAAGGAATATTTTTTCTCGGAGCGAGGCGAGGTTAATTAGCAGCTCACATATAGTCAACAACATACAGTTCAGCTGCTATCCAAAGAGGGTTTTAGTTGGCAGATCAAGTTGTCAACTAAAGAAGGCCAAATTTAGACTCAACAACTGCTAATAATATTTTGCTTCTTCGTTTTATAGAGAGTAATAAAGAAAAAGATTCATTGCTCTTGAATTATATCACTTTTTGTGCACTACTGTACCGTTTTCTTTTGAAATATATAGTCAAATAGATCATATGATCAAAAGATATAAACACCTTATAAAGACATGACGAGGCAGCGAAAAAAATAAATATAGGTCTGGATGAGGTAGGGAACAAAATATTCTTCCTATATAGGTCTCTGATTAAGTTCATATGATATATGTACGCCTGATTACTTCGAGATGTTTTGATTTCTATTTTTAAGTTATTTAATACAAAACAAAGTTCGGAAATCGCATATCAACGATTAGATGGAAAAGAAATCCAACAGTTAATCGAACAAAGAAATTTACCAGAAGAATTCTTTCAACCGATTAAAATGTTGGAAGAAAGGAGTACAAAACTTATTGCAGCTAAGAACAATAAGAAACTGGATAATGTTGTCATAGCTAAAGCACTTGTTATCGGTGATAACGATAAACTTACTGTTTTGAAAATTGAATTACCTGAAAGTAATAAAAACTTGAATCAATGTCAAAAAACAAAAGAAAAAATGAATGATTCAGATAGATATTGTTTGAATATTAGCCTTATTGTTCTGTTGAAGATACTCCACCAATATTTTTATAGAAATATTGAAAAATGAACTAATTATAATAAAAGAACGTGTCATAATCATTCAGATATAGTCCTATGAAGATAAACCATGAAATATCAGGGTTTTACATGGAAAACAAGTAAGCAGCATCGCTATAAGACCTGAAAAATGTTATTTATAGACTTTCACCATGAAAATTAGTTGCATATTCGAAGTTGTGTAAATGAAATTGATTTAAATCAACTTGCTATACAACGTGCGAATCCAATCTCTCAAATTTTATATCAAAATAGCACTTGAAACTTAGAGTTGATTATCTGACTTCGTTGCTCATACTTTATTTATTTCAGTATAGAACGTTTTACTTCAAATGCTTAAATCAGAAGAACATCCATTAAGATTCAATGACGTTTGTCTTGATAGTTATTTCCGATTGAAAGACAGGCACAAAGGTTCCAAGAAGTGTTAATTGGTGCTTCATCATTTGAAGAATAGTTAAAACGTCACTCTTCGAAACCAACTCATATAGCAAGACACGTTTTATCTATTTGCACAACTATATTAAAATTCATTTTTCACTTCATCTTTTTTTCAACTGATCAGAAGCTAGAACTATAATTCATATTGATCATAAACATGCTCTTTCTTTCTCTTTATTCTTCACTTTGAGCACTCTGGAATAATAATAAAACAGAACGAGAAAAGATGAACACACACACAAATACAAGAGACAAATAAGCAAATAGAATAACAAATAATAGAAGGACTGCTGAAGAATAACAGATTCTTTATGTTCTTTTTATTTTAATTGTTTATTGGTGTTCATCTGAATGTATATTTAATATAAGGAACATCTTCAACGTCATTTCCTTCCAGATCATCACATAACATATCCAATGTAAGAGAACGAACATGAGCAGGAATCTTTGATTTTGTCACCGTTTCAAACAGATCAGAAATTCTAATAAAACAAATAATACGATTTATTATCATTATTATAAATAATAGAAATTAATACATACTTGCGTTTCATATCTTGTGCTTTACTTGTTTGACGCATGAAATGTGGACTATAAATAACGGACATTCCTGCTGAGACCATGTTCGGTACTAACTTATGTTCACGCTACAATTCACAATTCAAAATCGAAAATTAAAATTAGAAATTCTTAGTCTTCTTTCGTTTACTTTGAAGTATTCAATAAATTCTTCTAATGTCATTTCACCTTTTACTTCAAATCGATCCCATAATGTAAAATCTTTGTCAAGATACTAAAGTACAAAAAAAAAAAAAGAATTCATAGATTTGAAAAATCGATTGACTTTTTTTCCCTCATATCTCTTTATTACATACTTTTTGACATTTTGGTGGTACTGGTTCAGAAAATCCAAAAAATGGTAAAGCCAAATTAACAAATGCATTTCGATATGATTCTATCTTTTTATGATGTTGAACAAATTTATAAACTTCAAGACAAACAAGTCCAGTGACCATGGCTGTTGTTGTTGCAATAGCAGGAATAATATTTCCTGCAATTCTTTTGATTTTACTTCGATCAGCTCTTTGTATTTCATAATTTTCAGCTCGTAAATTAGCTGTTGCTGTAATATAATCCATATGAAAGTTAGTATCATCATCTTTTTCAAATTCATGTGGTTGAATTTTAATATCAAGTACATCATCAGGTTTTGGTAATCGACTAAGAATTTGTTCGACCTCTACATCATTTGCACTCTGACCATTTTTACGCATTGCACTCATATTTTTTTGTCGTTCAAGGTCAGCTCTAACTTGTTCATCATTTTCATGTATTGTTATACCAGCTTTTGGTTTAAATTCAGGTACATGTACTTTTACAACTTCTTCGGCAATTAATTTACGATCACGTATTTGTGGTATGTGATATATGTGTGCAAGTAAATTTGATGCAGCAAAAATGAAATCCAGATGAAGTTTATTATGAGCATCAAATTTTAAAACATGAGGACATCGTTTATTTCCACTCCAAAAACGTTCACCTTTACTTGTTATGTGATCACGTGGAAAATTGTAAAGTAACTGAGCAATAGTATTATGAAATTGTTGTTCGAAAAGATTTCGTGACTAATAGAGAAAAAAAAAGAATAATTAATAAAGTGAACATAAGGTTAACTTAAATATGTCTTATACAATTCAAGCGATTTAATTGATTTTTTTTAATAGTATGTAAGTATGTTCTGTATGATTTGAGATCAAGGTCGGTGTCTATAGAGCTAAGAATAAGGACTGCTTTATGAATAACCAAACTTGAGTGATCTATGGTTATGAAACTAAAACTGCAAATCGAATTCGGCAAAAACAATTTCAATGAAGATTTCATGAAAGTTAAGTTTCAACGCTTTGGTGAAACTGGTAAAGTGAAAGATCATGAACATTCTGGAAGCTCTTAGAAAATTACAGAAGAAAAATCGTTAATGTTCATGAATTCGAGCTGTCACAGAGACTTGCCCAGTCACGAGCAAATGGCACCTTTCACAGTTTCCATGGAAGGTATTCGGTGCGTTGTTGTCTGTAGGATGCGCAGGTCTTTGCAACAACTCGAGTTCACAAGCATCGACAACTATTGTGATTGGTCTTTCAGAAAATTTTCGTCCTTTGCCTGTACCAACTTCACAACAGAATTGGATTGTAGGTTTCATGCAGCCTTTACTTCGTGTTTTTGCTGATTTCAACTTACAGTTTTCGTTGCACAACCATAGAGGACTTAAATTTGGTCATTCACAATACTATCTATTTTCTGATGTTCATAGGTACAGACATTATTATACAAAATAAAACTTTAAATAGTATACTTACACGCTATAGAAAAAAAATCAATTAAATCGCTCGAATTGTATTAGAGATATTCATGCTAATTTTCTCGATAGATTTTTGAGACATTCGGTAGAATTTTTATAAGAAAATGATTCATATTTACCCATTTGATACAATCAGTGAAACTGTTTGGATGTTCTTCACCAAGAATACGTTTAACATTTTCAATTATTTCTGTTTTATCATATTCTGAATGATTCTTAGCTGTTCGTTCAGCAAATTCTTTTGGATTTCGCATGAATTCGTCAGCTTGTTGGGGAGGTATTGTGAAGAGACCAGCAAAATTATCACGTGCCCATTCAATTGTATGTTCAATTAAATTTGGAAAGTTACGTAAAGTACACATTGGTACTGATGGATCAGGTGGATCATTGGTTGATGAATAGGATTCAGTAAGAAATGGAACAACAACTTGAACACTTGCTTTTGTACCTAATGTACCACTATCAACCAATGGTTTTTGATAATAGACACAACGGCGATCAATGTATTGACCTTAAATATAATTGAAATCAAATTAACTTATAGTCAGTACAATTTGAGTTGCATGTAACAGAGAAAAGTAGGAGTGCAATGAATAGATAATAAGAATACAGCTGATGAGAAAAAATCGCTCCCTACTGTCTTATATTGACAATGAAAATGTTGAAAGTTGGTACATCTTTTCATACTATTCACAGAAACAAAAGGCGTTTGTTTTCGTGAAAATGACGATAATATTAATTTCTCTTCAGCGAACTTCCTTTTTGAGATTCTCGATAATAGCTCAACGAAACGTTATGCAACTTTCAAGACAGATAAATCTCAGTAAGTAGAGCAATGGTTGTTATCGGCTTAAAATTCCTACATAATTTATTCAGAGAGATTCTGAAGATTTGCAATGAACAAAAATTTCCTCTCGGACAAAGCTCCATATATCTTTTCTAGGAGTTGTAATCTTTCTAATGACAACAATGATCAAACCACTGTGTATAGCTATTTTTTGAAAAGTATCGTTTCTAGAGCTCAGAAAAAACAAAATACTAGAAGCACAGTCAATAAGACGTAGTTCTTTCAATGATACAAATTTTTAAACGCTGTCGAATTTCGTTAGAACAACGCTTTGAAGAAAAAAGATACTCAACTCATTTTTAGCAGATTAATCATGAAAACAATTTGAGTCTGATCGAACGCACTGTTTAGAAAAAACAGAAAGTAAACTTGATTTTTTTGTGTCACAATTGATTTTGAGAAAAATACAAGGCGAATTATCTTGTATGTATCAGAACTTTTTTCTCCAACTAAAGTAATCGAAAACTGGTCTCGTAGCACAAGTTTTTCTGGAAAAGATTTTCGGAGTTGGATTTAATAAGAGTACTACTAACTGATAACAAGGACCCTCATTTGTAAACCATTTCATAGAGGACACTTCGAAAATATACCAAAAATAGAAAAAACTTTGATTTTGACGTCCGAAAATGCGAGCGGATGTCCTCCTATCGCAACTAAATTCATAAGATTGGTTTCACATACAGTAAACGTTTCCTTTTTCTTCATACTGTCCTTCTAACATCACATTTTTCAAACAATGTCAAATTTATTCAATGATGTTAATCCAACCAGACTTTATATAAAACCCCTATCTACTCAAATATATCAAAAGTGAAAAGAGATGAAATTATATCTGTCAATGACACGCATGCATATTTTACTTCATCTATTCTACGTAAAAGTCTCAATTACATCGATAAAACTTCTGTCAACTACTTAACAAAAAAACACACAAAACAAAACGATCTCTCTTGAAAATATATCCCTCTCATTATCCGTTAACTACCTCTTCAAATGCTTAATTTGACAATCTAAAGCAAAAAAAAATAATTATAATTTAAATTCATATATCTTTACAAATAATACTATTATCTAGACAAGAACAACATGCTCCGAGCAATACTTGGTAAGCTCTGGAAAGACCTATAATTTTCAGACAAGTCAGAAAAAAAACTTCTATTCGTGTCACTCGTTTCATTCTATTCGAAGATACTTACGAGCTTTGACGTTGTCGAGTGCATTAACAACACTATCCAATCGTTCGAAAAAATGATCATCATAAATATGTTCGGTTTCTGGTAAAACTCCATCCACATATGCCCGGACATGCATATTTGGGTTCATTGCTTTTACCGCTTCAGCTGCAACTGTCGATTTCATTTTCTAAAAAGATCCAATAAACACGTCAAATAAACATTTATTTACTCATACAAATGAAAACCTTACCCCAATATCCCATGAACGAAATAGAAATTGTCGATTTAGATTTGATTTTTCAATTGAATCCATATCTGTTACATATACATGACCTTCCTTCAAACATCCAATACCCATCATAGCAAAGTTTTTCAACATTTCACAACCTATTGCACCCGAACCAACCTATATTTTCAACATTTTTATCATTATTGTTCTCTTAAAAATTCTTTTCTTTTACATACAACAAAATATTTTGATTTTCCTAGTTTTTCTTGAAAATCTTCACCAAAAACGATTTCTTGTGAATAATATCGTGAAGATTTTGTTGGTAATTTTGGTATTATATTTGATTCAGTTGTTGTGTTTTCATTTGATGGTTGAAAAACATTTTCAGGTAAACATTCAATGGCATCAAAATAGAAGAATTGTCGAATTGGCATAAATTTTCCTGTTACTGCCTAATATAAAATACAAAACAATTAAATCTATTCTATTCATACAAAACAAAATCGAATTCATTACTTTCATGGCTTCTTGAGCAGCAACACCACCAATAACAGCTTGAATTGGACATAAATCACCAGTACATATTTTAGCAAATAACTTTATCCAATGTTTATTTAGTTCATCTGTTAACACTTTTTCACGATTTTCACTATTTAATTTTTCAACTATATCATAGAACTTATCTGCATCAATCTACAAAAAAATAAGAAACCAAACTCAATAATAGCCAAGAAAAAATGATTATCTATAACATACATCATCCCATGGTTTTGGTAATGTATTGTATTGTTTTTGAAAATATGATAAAGCTTGATATGCTAAATGAAGATTCGCTGGCATTGACATTTTGGAAAAATCACAAACTAGCATTTCAGGATCTTTTAATGATTCAGAAAAAGGTTTCTAAACCATAAAAACAAACAATTCAAATCCAAATTAATAAAAAAAAAAAATGTAAACCTACAAAATGCACAATTTCTGGTTTTTTGACTTCAGTTACAGTTCCACCACCTTCATAAGTACCAAAACTTCTTGTATCTCCAATGGTAAATGTAAATGGACCTAAACATGAACATTGTTCACTTTAAGCAAATATACCATAAAAAAAACCTATACAAACTTGGTACAGAGATTTTGAATTCTCGCTCATTAACTTCAGTCATTCCTTTTACGCCATGAAAAGTTACATATGAACCATCTTCAAAACCATGTCTGGTATCTGTTGACATAAAAACTACACCTGCTTCATCCTAATTAATCAAACTTTATAAATTATAGAGTTTTCAGAGTAATAAAAATACATACATGACTAATTTCTGTCACAATTTGTGTTAAAGGATGTTCACCATTTGTATCGATTACCTCGAAATTTCGACCAAAATCACAAAAGATTTGTCTATTCAAGAATAAAAATACATATCAAACAAAAACAAATATTATGACTTATTTATCTTACCCAAATAAACCTTTTGTATTTGCATTGATAAATTTTATTCCATGTTGATGACAATAATCACCTATCTTTATTTGATCATCCATATTAGCATCGGTTAAAACAAACACCTAGAAATTTATTTCATGAAATCTTATTTTGATAAATTCATTAAACTATTTACATTGACTTTATTCTTTTGAAGAAATGTTTCATCCACAATTCCAGAATAAAATGATACATTAACATAATTATTTAATTCAGATAAATGTTTATTAGCAACTTCAGCTCGATTTTGACCAATATTCGATTCAGTAAAGTAATACTATAAATAAATGATAGAAAAGAAAAACAAAAATAAAATTTGTGAAAGTTTGATTTATTTTACTTGTGATGAAAGATCTTTATAATCGACATTACCAGAATCATGAACAATAACTGATTTAGCACCTCCCAATACAATATTTTTAGCTATTTCAACACCAAGACCACGCATGCCTGATATAAGAACATGAGCACTAGCTAATTGATGCATAGCTTCTTTGCCCATGACATAACTAAAAAATAGTTAATATATGATTGTTGTTTTTTGTGTGTCGAAATTGAGAAAAAAACTCACAGTTGTCGAGAATAAAGGCTTTCATCGATTTCAGGCAATATTGTCACTGTTTCATATAACTCAATGTTAGTCATTGAATTCGATATTGATGTATTATTTAGTGCGTTGATTATTATTATTATTAATATCCCAAACTATTGAAGCAGATAAAGAACGTGGCTATACAAATGCCTGGTATATAGTGTTTTTTGCATATTAATGGGAATAGGTGAGATTAAATAACACGTGTTACTTTTTTAAATATTTTTCATACATGTTCAATCTTACTAATTGATTGAGTGATTCAAAATACTTAGTTTAAAGTAAGAAATAGGATAAATGACAGTGAATTTATGTTTATATTCTTTGGGTTAATTATAATGAGCTGTTGGCTATTTATGCTTTGTTTGGGAATAATAATAAATAAAATTAAGGAAGACTATAGAAACAAATATTCTTATTCAATTGCCTCGATGATTCAGATGAAAAGAAAGAAAAATAAAATAGTGGAAACCAATCAAAATCGAACTGAACTATTGAATCGACCACTAGGGGTCGCAGCAGCCGATGCGCCGAAAGTAGAAAAATAGGCAGTAAAGTTGTGAAGAAAATCAGATATCTATATCAAAGTTAGAGATAGAAAAATTCATTCTGATATTACCTATCAGGCTCAAATTTGAATAAAATTAGATGAAGTAGTAATAATTAGCTAAAAGTTTAACGTATGTTACTACGATAAGCGTCAAAGTTGTTTGAGAGAGAATAAGCAGTTCAACAGAGCAATTTTTTCGTCATAGGCTATGAGCACGTGTCCTCTCTTCACCTATCTACATCCACACCCTATCAACCAACAAGGAAGTGAATCGAGTTAACGCTGAATACTGTGTTTATTCCATGACTAATGGATTTGAAAATTAAATTAAAATAAATAGAAATTCCTAAAACAATATTATTCAATATGTATGTAGTTATCGATATATATTGGTATAATGTATTACCTAATATCTCAGCAATTGGTGCAGCACAATATATGGTATTGGCTAAGCTCATCAAATTTTTGTTATATTTATCATGTGGAAACAGTGATCTAGAAAGAAATTTTTTTCTCAAACAAATCATCTTGATTAAGATGATCTTTCATTATAAAATTAAGCATCTATTATGGCTTGACAGATACCAGTGCTAATATTCGAGTTCAGAGACCAAAATGAAGCGGGAGTCAGGTCAAGGAATATTTTTTCTCGGAGCGAGGCGAGGTTAATTAGCAGCTCACATATAGTCAACAACATACAGTTCAGCTGCTATCCAAAGAGGGTTTTAGTTGGCAGATCAAGTTGTCAACTAAAGAAGGCCAAATTTAGACTCAACAACTGCTAATAATATTTTGCTTCTTCGTTTTATAGAGAGTAATAAAGAAAAAGATTCATTGCTCTTGAATTATATCACTTTTTGTGCACTACTGTACCGTTTTCTTTTGAAATATATAGTCAAATAGATCATATGATCAAAAGATATAAACACCTTATAAAGACATGACGAGGCAGCGAAAAAAATAAATATAGGTCTGGATGAGGTAGGGAACAAAATATTCTTCCTATATAGGTCTCTGATTAAGTTCATATGATATATGTACGCCTGATTACTTCGAGATGTTTTGATTTCTATTTTTAAGTTATTTAATACAAAACAAAGTTCGGAAATCGCATATCAACGATTAGATGGAAAAGAAATCCAACAGTTAATCGAACAAAGAAATTTACCAGAAGAATTCTTTCAACCGATTAAAATGTTGGAAGAAAGGAGTACAAAACTTATTGCAGCTAAGAACAATAAGAAACTGGATAATGTTGTCATAGCTAAAGCACTTGTTATCGGTGATAACGATAAACTTACTGTTTTGAAAATTGAATTACCTGAAAGTAATAAAAACTTGAATCAATGTCAAAAAACAAAAGAAAAAATGAATGATTCAGATAGATATTGTTTGAATATTAGCCTTATTGTTCTGTTGAAGATACTCCACCAATATTTTTATAGAAATATTGAAAAATGAACTAATTATAATAAAAGAACGTGTCATAATCATTCAGATATAGTCCTATGAAGATAAACCATGAAATATCAGGGTTTTAC